AAATATCGATTATTTTTTTCATTTAATCTTTTGTAAAAAACAATTATATGTATTGGGTTTGGGGTTTTGCCAACAAGTATAATTGTATTATATTCCTTATTTGTTATATCAAAAGATTTTTTTTTTTATTAAAGATCAAGATCAACTACTATATATTTTAAACCAAAATTTAGCATCTACATATGAATCCAATTTAGATTCAATTTTCTGAATCCAAGATCAGTTATACCGGGAGCTGAATATTTTTGAAGCTCGAGGACTTTTATTTCGTTCCTCTCATATACAGCCAATAAAAAAGAAAAGATCACTCGCAGTGAAAAGTTGGCCAAAAACTAATCGATCTAAAGCTTTCTTTAACTAATACACGGCCACATGGCTAAATAATCAAATTAATTAAATGTTATAATTAATCTCCAATTTGGATCAATCATTTGCGCTTCTTTTTACTTCGTTTTTTAATTCTATCACTATTCTGAACTCTTTTAATATCGTTAGAGCTCAAGGATAGCATACCACCTTTAACTTTACCAATTCCCATTTTAATCCCTTTATCTCTTTTATTTTTTTTAGAAATTGAAGATTTGGAACCAGCCCAATTATGTTTTATCGAGTGATGATATAGACCCAGGTCCTTTGCCTTTTGATATGTAAAAAAATTTTAATGCATTGAGAAAAGTTAAAAAGAATAAAAAAAAATTTGATATATTAATAACCTCCTGAAGTTTTTTTTCTTCACGTTCACGACGTTTAGCTTGCATTCCTAACGCAATGGATGTTGGAATTTTAATGCCTTTTGGGGGCTTTTATAAAAAAAAAAAAAGTTTTTTATCAAGCATGAACAAAAAATTTCAATAGTTACTAATCAAATAAATACCCTGGCACCTAGCTCATATATTCTATTTTCATTGTATTTTCTACGTTCTTTTCCAGTTAGTTGTTCAGAAAGAAAGTGTTCGATTTTAGACAAATCTTCAATTTCAGATAAAGTTTCAATTTTAGATAAAGTTTCAATTTTAGATAAATTTTTAATTTTAGATAAATTTTGGGCAAAAGAATTATTCATGGTATAAACAGTTATCAAAAAAAAAAAAAATTATTTTGATAGCTGATCATTTATCGTTATCACCATCCAATAAAAACTCAACCTAAATTTGAATTTTACCAAATTTTGAAAATGTCTGTGCAAACTCAAAATGATCAATTTTATCAAGCGGTAACTTATGTATTCAAATCTTGGACCGCTTTAAAATTAGCGGTGGAGATGCAATGGGGTGGTGTTGACTCTGAGGACAAACGTGATTGGTTTGTAGATGTTGTTGTGGAATACTTTGGGAAACGTACGTACGTTCAGTAAAAAAAAAAAAAAAAATTGATCAATAATACGCAGAAAGTACGAAAAGAATGGATCAAAAAATAATCTTAAAATCATATATATATGTTTTTTATTTACATCATAACGAATAATTGAAGATGGCAAAGGAACACACGCAGAAGACATAGAATCAATTTTGCAACAAGTAATGGCGGATGAATTTAATACTTTGCTGGAAGATGATTCTGCCTATCAGGTAAGCTAAACTCCTAACATAGCT